AGAATATATGCAGCGTATTATTTGTTGAAACTGTACTTCCGATTTGATTTGAAACTGTCTCATTGCTATCTGTTTATCAATAAAATTTTGAAAAAAAAAAAAAAAGAAGGGACAGAAAGAAGCTGCTGAGGCCCCTGCTTGCTTTGCTAATTTTTGCCCACCATGAACTGTGTCTCCCCTGCAGTGCCTGTCTGCCATGCCACCCTGCTTAGGAGCTACTGATTATGGACTTAAACTTCTGTGAGCTGTCAGCCAAATAAATCTTTTCCTCTTTAACTTTGGGGGTCAGGTATTTTTGCCTCAGCAATGAAAGAAAAGCAACTAAGACAAATTTATTTCAGCTAACAGCTGCAAAATTTACCATAATGGTCAATCCAACAAGAACCTAATAAGTATACTCAAATCTCAGCAGATCCAAGATTCACAATAGCCATCCATGTTTTCTAAAAAAATATGTTGACTGAAAGACAAAAAATTACTTATACTGCCAAAGTAGATTTTAAAAGATCTGTTTTGCAAAGTAATAAGCCAGTTTATTCAAAGAGAATCATTCTCTTTTTGTCTTTCCTTTTTTCTCTATTTCTGTCTTTATCTTTTTGTTCATGCTGGGGATCCATACCCAGGACTTCCACAAGTCTAGGTAAGCACTCCACCAAAATGAGCTGCACCCTCCTGCCCATTTTCTTTTTAAAGAAAAATGAAATTTACCTTTTTACTGATACATAAGAACATAACAATTATGTATATTAATTAGATAGCATGGTAATTTGGATGCACTGTGCAATATTAAATCAGATTAAATATATTTATCCTTAGAAATGTTACTTTGTGACAAGGACTTTCAAGTTCTTTCTTCTAGTAGTTTGAAATGTACAGCACATTATTAGTATTTATAGTCACCTTCCTGTACTATAGCATTCCAGGTTTTTGTGATCCTATCTACTGTGACTTAAGCAGCCACCAACTCACCTCACCCCCATCCTCTCTCCCCTGAAAATCATTTCAAAGGATTATTTGTGAGGAAGGCAGTCATTAAGGTAACTATTATGTGTATGAAAAGACGTAAGAGAAATAGAGAAATGCAACTATGGCCTCAACGCAGCAAGTTACCCTTAATTGCCTGATAACAAAGATAAAGTTTGTGGATTATTTGCTTAGTCTTGGTGTTTTTGTAAACAGTTCTATTTATAGAACTCAGGTTTCTTATAGAAAAAGCTTACAGGTAATAGCTTTAATTCCCACCTTACCCTGTAGGGTTTACCATTCCCACTCACATGAAGTTGCCCCTTCTACCTCACAAAAAATCTGCTACCTAGGCTGCCAGCCCATTTGAAGTGACCGTGCTGAAGAGCTATGAATAATTGGTGCCCATAAACCCAGTACCATGTTTTTCTCTTTTTTACGAATAGAATTTCCCAGGTAGCTAATTTCTTTGCTCCTCTTTCCTCTCTGTTTGCTCTCTTTTTCCCTTCTGTGTCTCTCTTTCATTCATTATTAAATGTATTAAAAATATTTGCTGTATGTGAGTCACTGCTCAGTTTGAGGATATGAAGAAAACATTTCATGCCTTGGAAGAGCTAGGGAAAAAGGAAGAATGACATTCAGTTTGAGTATACAAGTAATTACAATGCAGCAGGGTATGATCTAATAGAAACAGACAGCCCCTAGGATATGTAGAAAGGTTGCATATCCAGGCCTCAAGGGGTGAAAAGTAGGTCCCTTTAATCTTCTGCTGCTGACCCAGTATCAGTATTTTCACAGATTGAACAGAACCTGTGAGAGAAGATTAAAGTGATAACATTTCCGAATTGGGTCCCTGAAAATAGTAAAGAATGAAGCTAGAGGTGTCTTGCTAGGTGAAGATAAACACATAGTGATTTAGAAGGAGAGAAAGATGGGAAGATGGAAAAAGCTGAGCAATATTCCCACGGCCAAAACCTTCATGGCGATCAGGCAGAGCCTTGGCGAAATGAGAGTGGAGTCTGCCAGCACCAGACCCCAGGACCTGCTTGACGTTTTCCCTTTGAGGTTCCTTTCTCATTATCTTCATTATTTTGAGAAAAAAAAATTCTTGCAAATAAGACTATTATTCTATCCTTGTAGCTCTGGTCTATTTAAATAAATAAGAGTTAAAGGGTGATTCATATTGGGGTACATGAGTCACCACTTTATTTGTTTTATACCCAACTACTTTTTGATTATTTATCTTTGTCATTTCCCTGGTTCTTCTCAGGACTTCCTTTTTTTTTTTAAAAAAAAAAATGTATTTAGTACCGGGTCTACAGTGTCTCACGTCACAGATCAGACTTGTAGTGATCCTTCATGTTTTTCAGCCTCCCAAGCGCTAGTATCACATGTGCATGTGCGTGCTACCATGCTTGGTCTCCTTAGCTGTCTCTGCATGCCCCAGGGGCGGGGCCGGCACCTGCATCTGCCTAAGCAGGAGCTTTAATCTGCTGAGCTATCTGGCAGGCTCAAGGACTTTCAGTGATGTGCATTTATTGAATGCTTTAACATATCCTTACCTCTGTAGAGGTTCAAGAGTTACCTGAGATCTGTAGGGCTCTCAAGACATCTGTATTAGTCAGGGTTTTACCAGAGGAATAGATATAATACCAGGAACAGATATAACACAAGATATACAAATATATAAGAAATTATAAGATTGACTTATGACAGTCAGCCACCGAGTCAGATGAGGAAGCGTGCAGAGGGCATCTGCATACCCCAGACTGAAGGATTCAGTCCCAAGGTTTGAAGCTCACTGTAGTGCTCTGTGTAAGTCTCTATTAGTTGGCAGATAGGTCTGTGACAGAAGGTTGACCCGGAGGCCAAAGAGTCCGTGCTGGGAGCCTGGAGATAAAGTCCAAGCTAACTGCAAAGACAGAAGTTCCACTGAAGAAGTGGAACACCAAAACCTTCTGCAACTCCTTTAATACCCTTTTTGTGCTGAGTCACTCTGGAGCAGGACCTCCCTGCACTGGGGCCTGGCCCCTCACAGCCCAGGGTGTGGAACAGGTGACAAAACCCACTTGACCCAACGTATCACCAGTGCAACATCTTAGGGCTTTTGCACAGACCTACAAATTCTTGCTATGGACGTCTTTCGGTACATTTAGTTCATTTCACGCACAGGCACTGAGCTCCTACTATGTGTTAATACCTCTGCTGAGAACAGAATGTTCACTGACATAGCCCTTGCCACTGAGGAATGCAGAGGTTAGTGGACAAGAAAAAGTGAGTACTCTACTTGTCTGTCTGCTGTGTTGTATTTTTCTGGTGTATGCTGTTCTCTGCCTGCTTCTCCCACCTTTGTGTTCCAACTTGGCTCCACTCCTGGTCTGAGGAGTCTGGTTTTCTTCTAACAATCTTTGATCTCCTCTTGCATGAACATTTGTGATAGTTTATGAACTTTCAGTTTTTTTTTGGTTTTTTGGGTTTTCTTTTGCAGTACCGGAGATTGAACTCAGGACCTTGTGCTTGCCAGGCAAGTGCTTATTCTACTGAGCTATCTCCACAGCCCCCAAACTTTCAGATTATTTACTGTGAAAACTTGTCTTCCCTTCCTCTTCTGCACTACAGGTGGAAAGCAAATGCTTCCCTTCCCCGCCAGGGAGTGATTTGGAGTTTCAAGGAAAGTGAAAATTTCAGTTTCTAATGAATAAATTTGCCTTGAAATCCTCAAGACCAAGTGTGGAAATGTCACAAGAAAAGAAGGCACCAGAAGGGCAGATGGCAGGCAGTGTTTTGGAGGTAATCAATAAGAAAAAGCTGTGCATGGTAGCATAGGCCTATAATTCTAGCACTCTAGAAGGCTGATGCAGGAGGAATCCAAGTTCCAGCCCAGGCTAGGTAACTTACTGACTTCATGAGGCCTGTCTCAAAATAAATAAAACAAAATAAGGTAAAATAAAATAAAATGGGCTCTGGATGTAGATCAGTGCAAAGGCTCTGAGTTCAATCCCTGAGTTCAATCTGTATGAAAGCACAGATTTTTCTGTGCAATGGATTTTTTTTTTTTTTTAATCAGAAAGTCTACTGGGAGCCTGGGAGTTGAACCTGGAGAACAGGCCTAAGAAGGCTTTGAGTTCATTGCTTGAAAGAAGCACGATGCCTCATCTTCAGAAAGGACCACAGAGAAGGACACTGTTTGAGGGTCTCTATAAGAGAAGCTGAATCCCAGAATCCTGACTTCACTTGGAACCATCTTCCCTTGGCACAGACTGAAGAGTCGTGAATCCTGTCCAGTCAGTGTAGGCTTTCCTTTACCCATAGGCCGGCCAGCAGAGAAAAACCTACTCAGGCTCATTCCCTATAGACATGTCAATATGGACTTCTCCGCAGAGAAGATGCCACAGCATGTCCACTCAGGGAAAAGCACAAGGGCATTGCTCTCAGTCAGGAAGAAGGTGAGGAGAGACATTTTCCCATTTGTGAGTAGGAGTTGAAGCAAAAGAGGTAATAATTGGGCTCCCCATTACCTGTCTGCTTTAGCCCAGACCTTCTGAACTGTGCTTGCCCACAAAAAACTGACCACCAATACGTCTTCAGTTTCCACAGCAAGCTATATTCTAGAACTATGATATTCTAGAAAATTGTTCAGAAACAATATTCTTTTCTCTCCTGTTTCGCAACCTTCTACTATATTTGATTTTGCATTGCTTATAGTCTACCTTTTCTTATCATATCTATATTTTCTCTGAACTTGAATATAATAGTAGTCAGACTCCAGGCTTGGTGATCTTATTGCTTCTGGCCCTGTGGGCCTTGGCTGGCCTGCATGATTTTGACTCCTACAGCCTCACGGTCTTCTGCCCTGCTTGATGCTCCAAGACACTCGTCCTTGGCCAGTGCCCTGATCAAGCTACACTCTGTCTTCCTCTCACCAGAGGGACAGCCTAGTGTCAGATCCTGTCCTCGAGCCTAGGGAAAAGAAAGTAAGTTTTCATTAGCACTGGACTGTATCCACTTAAGTCTAGCAGTTAGGTCTAGTTTTCAATTTCCCTTAAGTTGCAATGCAAGCCTAGTATAGTTTTCTCAAAATTTCAGAGGAAGAGCTAACTTCTTGCATTGTGTCCCAAGCATGGAAAATGGGTGCTGTGGCTGGTTACAATGAGAGTTCAAACTTACGGGCATGAGACACACACTTCCCTGTCCTCTTGGACACCTGATATAGAGTTTGCAAGCCATGGAATACCTCATCAGCTAATGGAGAAAAAGCCCTGGTCATATATAACCACACAAGATTAACGTACATATTAATTCTGATATGATAAATAGAAAATCAGAAGTTACTGTAAAATCAGACATTCCTGCTGAGAAAACGTGCCAATTTTCTAGACTTTTTCATCCCTACAACATGGCGAGCCAATGCCAGGGACATGCACCTGCAGTATTATCTTACATGGAGGCTGCAATACCCACACCCTACTCACCAACTCCAAAAGTGTCTGCCTAGCCTCATGCTTGACAGAGTGGCTCCCAAGGCCTGGACCTATAAGCTCCATCATTTAATCACACAGAATAATAATGGTTACTATCTTTCAAGGATTGTTTTGAATGAGGGTGAGGTCCTGTTAGGCCTCATAATTACTGTAAGAAGAAGGGTGTCATTATTATTCTTAGTTAATATGTGAGAGATCTGAGTTGTAGGGAAATTGAACTGAAGGACACACATGAAGTGGGAGAGCTAGGATCAATCTAGGCCTGCTGGCCGCGAGGTGTGTGCTTTAATGTTTCCACAGTGTTGATGAGGATCTCAGCTTCACAGAATCCATTTTTTTTCCCTTAAAAAGACAGTTTTTGATAACAAAAACTTGGAGCATGTAAAAAAGTTACAGTAAATCATTAGCATGGAATGCCTAAATTACTTAATAATGGGAATGAAAGCATGCAAAATTTATATAGCTTAAGACCATAATCTATTAACCATAAAATAGTTCTGTACGTTATTATACAGAAATTATTTAAATAGCATATACTCACTAGAACACATAGCCAATAAAATGTTATACAGCCTGCTTGGAGTGCTTTTGATTTATATGGCATTTGGTAGTAGCCTATAGCAAAACCATAAGCACCCCCAAAAAGCTGATGCAAATATACAATGATGCGCACTAAACAATGATGAATCTAACTAAAAATCATTTATAATTAATCATAAACATATTTAAATGCACATTATAGTAATTAAAAAGTCCAATAACAGCAACTAAAAACAATAATTATCGCAAGATAACTTTGGTGCCTGCCTCGCTGATAATTTGGAGAAACTGCAAGCAGGTGCTGAAACAGAGCAAGGCAAGGCCGCCGGTATTCTTAGTAGAATGACTTTTTTATCTCATCTTATCACACTGCTGGCTGCTTGCCATGTGTATATTTCAGTCGTCTCTGTCTTTAATTGGTTTGAAAATAAGCCTGGCGTTAGCTGGCGGGGACTCCCTGTTCTTAGGAGATACAGAACAATAGTTTACTAACTACAGACAAAAGCTTCTGTTTGTACATTATGCACCTTAAATTTAGTACAGTATGAAAAGGGAGAGTTTAAAGGATTTTTTTCCCCCTTTGGCTAGTTCTGGCTGCCTTAAGGGCGGGAGTAGCACAGCTTGTGGGGCTGGGGATCAAACCACGCTCCCCTGAGCCTGACTGCATTTGGCCAAGCAGCGCTTTAAACAACTGAGCTATCGGGCAAGCCCTGAAAAGGGAGAGTTTGGCAAGAGACTGTGCCATCTCAGATCTAGCACAATTTAGTAGACAGTTCTGTAGCAGAGCCAACAATCCTTAATTTGAGGTATTTGATTTTTTTTTTTTTTTTTTTTCCAAACCAGGGATTGAACTCACGCCCTTGCGCTTGCCAGGGAAGCGCTTATTCCACTGAGCCATCTCCCCGGCCCCCATCAATCCTTAATTTGTGATAAAAAAAAAAAACCCTGCTAGAGATCCATCAGGTGCATAGCAGGCACTCAGCAAAGCTTGTTACACAAATGTTTGCTTAATGGTTATAATGATCACTGACAAATACAATTCTCTTAGCTGCAACATGAGTATTACATTTTTGCTTTAGTGTAATATACCTGCTCATCTTTTTCTTCTGTCATGAACTTTGAATCTTATGAATGTGCCAGGCATTATACCTGTAGGATCATCAACATTATTTTAAATTTAATTCTGTGACTATTAAAATAAACTTTGGATAAAGCCAGTCTGATGTGGCACGTCCAGCACTACTGTTCATAAATTGTTAAGATTCTTACGTTAATAACTATTTTTTCCTGCAGTTCTATTTTGTCTCTGTCACTTTTCTCTCATTGCTAGGACAAAATACCTGACACCTAGAATGAAGGAGGGAAAGGTTTATTTAGTTCAGTTTGTGGAGGTTTCAGTCCATAGTTGGCTGGCTCCAAGGCAGAGTGGGGCATGACAGAGGGCAGCAGTTCATGGCAGTGAGAAATAGCACAGAGCAAAGGGAGCAGCTGCTGCAGCAACTAGCAAGCCTCTAGCCCTTCTCCACATTGTATTCGGGCTGTTTGCCCCACGGCAGATGTAGCACCTGTATGTGTAATCCTAGCATTGGATCAGCTGTTGGGCTGCAGGGATAGCTTAGTGGTCTAAGCACCTGCTTAGGCAAGCGCAGGGACTGGGGTTCAATCCCTGGCACCACATGCTGTGTGGGCCCCACCCTGGGCGCACTGTGTCATCCACCAAGACTGGACATGGTGGTGCAGGCCTGTAATCCCAGCGCTGGGGAAGCTGAAAACAGGAGGATGAAAACACTATGAGTCCTAGCTGTGTAGTGAGACCCTGTACCAAATACATAAATAAATAAAAATAAAAATAAAATAATTAAACATAAAAACCAGTTTATATGAAGAATTTCACAGGTAATTAATATTTGAAATTCACACCATGCTGTAAATTATATCAATGAAACTTTCATTTTTGTACTTGCCTGTTCACCTACGAGAATATTCAACTGATTTTTATCTCCACAAGTAGATCATTTCAACTGTCTGTAATCTAGAGGAAACAACAGCAGAAACATTATCCATTAATCTCAATAAAAACACATAGATGTAAAATACCAATGAGAATAATTATTCATGCTAAATACATACTAAAAATTTTAATAGCACTTCTTTTGTAGAAACCTATTTAAATTTTGTTGAAATTGAAAGAAACAATCAGTGTGTAACGACTAAAAAAATTGGTTTATAAATCTAATCTTTCATTTTAAGTAG